TCTGAATGCACTATCATGGCTAATCCAAAACTCAGAAGGAATGAAAATACTTACTTCCATAGCAGTATGCTATCTCGGGCAGATTCTGTCAGACCCTGTGATATGCTTAATAGTCTTTTTCTCTTTAGGCAAAGATTATCTGTTGTTTAAGTTACCAATCACTGAATGTATCTATCTTGCAGTCATTGACTCAGACACTTTTTTTCTTTCTTTATTGTCAACATATGTTATGCCAAATAAGTGGTGAGTTGCTAAACCTTTCAGTGCAAGAAAGATAAATGTAATAAATTGTCTGCAAGACTAGCGTCCAAACTGTGTTACTCCAACTGGTTCACAGAGCTGCTTTACACACTGCAATGCAGATTTGAACTTACAAATCCAGGATTAAATAAAAAAAAGAAATAGTGTCCTCACATCTGTAGCTTTGCTGCGGAAAACATTTGCTGATGTTCCTTTCCAAAGCGCTGTTTTGTTACATGAGTTTAATAGGAAGCTGACTTGGGATCCAGGCTGCTCTGCTGCACCTGGAGTAAAGCTGTTTTCGGGCTTGGGGTGGCCTTTCTCAGAATATTGTGAAAGATCAGAAGGGCTGAAGAAAAGGACAAATGAAAGAATAGTTATTCTCATAAAATGAACGTTTCTGGGTCTTATCCTGCCTCCCCCATCATGCTCTAAACTCCTAACGAAATTAGAGACACATTGCATATGCAGTGCGTGTGAAAACACTGTGGCCAGCAAAACCCTCTGCAAGCAAAGAGGGTGTTACTGCTCTAAGATGTGCCTTTGGTAATTTAAGATAGAGTAACCATGTGGTCACAGTGGAGATTAACATTCCTTGGCCAGAGAGGACGAGCTTTTATTTTGAAAGCCACCTGGGCTCCACTTAAAAGTAGTAGAATACTTAAGAATTTATTATGACTGGGAAGGCTCCGATTTAACAATGTCAAGACATAGCTGTGGAAATACACGCACTTTTCTACTTTCAAGACACACAGCGCACTACATTTTGTCCTTGCACAGCTGTTGCTCTTCTGTAACATCAAACCAGCAAAAAGTTTCACCATGAAGGATACCTAATATTTGGATTTTATATGCAGTGTCTCCAATTTATGTGCTTAGAATCATGAAGATGACTTATGATGTGTTGTGTTTGCATTGGCAACGGCTCAAAACCAGAAATATATTTCAGACTTGGCTTTCCAGATATTATCTCAAGTCATTTAAAAGTTCATTATAGGGCACCCGCTAGTGCTGCTATAGTAAAGGGGCTGTCAGCATTTTTCAAGGGTTTATAACTCAGCCATTAAAAAAAAAAAAACCCTCTGTGGGCTGAAACTTGGCATTCAGGGTCTAGGCCCAGCAGTAAATTGTTTTTACAAATTAAAAAAAAATCAGTTTGACTATTATTAAATTATAGGTGGGCTAAATTTTTATTTAGAACTTTTTCAGACCATTCTCCTGAACTTCTATAACTTAAAATATCTCTAAGATGTTTTTATCGAGTGCTACTCTAAAGTACAGACCAGTATTTGTTATATGCTTTAAACCCTGAGATTTAACTTAAAATATAATAACAGTGCTTATCCCAGCATAGCACTTTTCACCCTCAAAGTGCTTTACGAGCATTATCTCATTAATGTACATAACAGCCTCCCCATGATGTAAGAGGGATTATTATCCTCACTTTATAGCTACAGAGACTGAGCCAAAAGGTTTAAGGCTGTTTTGAAAAGGAGTTAGTTGCACAAATCCCATGTGAATTTTGATTGGCTTTGGGTGTCTCATTCCCTTCGGCTCTTCTAAAAATCATAACTGGAGTGATTCACCCCAGACTGTTCAGAGCCAGGATTAAAACTCAGACTTTCCGATGCCCATTGCCACTAGACTGTTTAATTCTCAGAAGCAAAATAATTATTTTGCACACAAGAACCATAAAGTTTCTAAGAACTTATTCTTTCGATCAGCGAGAGTCAACTTTGGGGATCTAGAGAGCTCCTCAGTGACAGGAAGCCTGTCAAATGAAACATGGTCAAGTACAGCCATGCGACACGGTGTCCTCATCAGGTGTGCAAGCAGCGGGTTCATCCCATTCCATCAGCGCTACTTGACTCATGCTGAAAGCACAAAAGGAAGATTTACTCCCAGTTTTCCTGGCCTTTGGGCTTCTAGCCCTGAACACGTTGTTAACGCTGATGGCACCAGAGAGGGCCTGATGAGGGGTGACCTGGCAAGAAACCTGGAGGAACTGTTTTGTATGTTCTTCGTACTGTTGTCATTAAAGGGAGAGGATAGTGGCAGTAGCTCTGGAGATTTGATGGGCTTTGATAGGGGACAGTCAGACACAAATATTAAAGACAAAATTGAACTTCTGCTGGACTTGGTCCCTCTTGGCAAGTGCAGTAGCTGAGGGCTTTCGTGCATTCCAGAGAAAGAATTTTCATAATTTTGTATGCATCAATAGCAGTCCAAGATTTCTTGGAAGCACTGTTAGACGTTCAGTTCATTTTCAATTAGAGAACTACTTTATCTGTGAGAAACTTCTTCTCATGAAACGTCCAGCCTCTTGAAACTTGCCCGGTTTAAAACTCATCTCAGGTGCCTTACGGTCTGCTGCTTGATCTGATTTATGATTTGCATGCAAAACTTATGGATTTAAGGATTAAGCGAAGCTGAATTTAGCATATGCGTTTTGTTTTGGTGTTTCTGTAGCAGTCTGGTGAGGGTAGTGGAGAACTCTGAGAGAAGAGTCAGAAGCTTCTGGATCCCAGAGGCCATTTCTGTTTGTGCCTACAGAGTAGTTTTTCGCTATAGCTCTTGCATTACAGCTGTACTTTTTCTGTCTTATTGTTGCTATTGATATTTTAAAATCATTTTCCAGTCTTTGGAAATCTACCCAACATCCCCGCTCCTTCATTTGCCCCTCCTGTATACCACAGGACCTTTGAAATATTATGTATACCATCTTGGTTGTCAGCAAGACCATCACAGGGCAGACAACATTCTGTTTTTTGTCTGTATTATGTTGCAGATATCTGAATCACTGTCTTTGAAATGTTATCAGGAATTATGTAGGTGAGCGTGGTATAGAAATGTTATATAGATAATTAAATGTGGTTATCCAGTTCCATGCTATTAGTGTGATTTTATTAAATGCTGATTGTGGCGAGAACCCAAGAATATGTGAGCTGACTTAGATTATGCTTCCCAGCGAGGTTATTAAGACAGTGAGTCAGAAACATTTCTAATCTTGTGATGAAGCCTGCAGAAATGGTTCTGGAGAACTAACAGCCCAGTCTGACGCCCCTGGTGAAAGACACTGGACCCTGTTGTCCGTCTTCACCGGAGGGCTGCAGTCTCTGCCCTTTTTACCCCATACGCAGTTTTCTCAACTAATTAGATCCATGGGAGCATAGATAACTGTAGTATTTTGCAGTTTCAAATCCATACCTGCACATTAAAAGACGACTTGATCGGTGAAAAAAATGTGTGGAGAGCTCCTTTGTACTTAATGTTTACTCTTCCAGCTCCCAGGGACCGAGTGAGAACAGGGACGCATTGTATGAAGCGCTATGCAAGCAGAGGGTAAGAACTTACATTCTAAACAGATTAAATAGAAAGGAAAGAGATATGAATATACACAAAACCTAATGAAGGGAGCAGCCAGTTGAAGACAGGATTAAATAAATAATTAGGGAAGTGGATTAGTTAGAAACGCTAGTTAGCTAAGCTGCTTTTAATACACGATGGAGGGTTTTTTTTTTCATACTGTTAGGAAGGCTTATTGCTGGAGTTAACAGTAGATGTACCTACAGAAGAGTGTAAGATAAGCAGCACAGCACGAATTTATTTGCCGATAGGCTTTTCTTGACCTCACGGGTTTGCTCTGAGAGCAAAGGAGCAGAGCACAGTCTACGGGTTTTTCATTTTTGGCCTCCCTGCTGAGACGTCCAACAGATGATAATAGCTTTTGGCCACTAATGACCACAGTTAGATTTGAACCTGTGACACTGAGATGAAAGCCTACATGTATTTCATTGCCAGTACCCAATCCATCCAACTCTCTGCCTTTAAAGGATTTAATTAACTGTTCAATACAGTTAACGGGAAATAGTCTTCTTCCTGAAGGATATAGAATGAAATAGCACCTGACGGAAGAAGGCAGTGCTCATGATTGGATTAGAAGAGATTAATTTCTTTAAATTTTGATTTGATGTTCCCTAACCTAACAAAATAAAAGAATTCTTGATCTTCTGCCTGCACCTATCATAAGACCTATTTCAGATTGTAGATAAACTTCAGCAGTCTTAGCAAGGGAAATCCTGACCAAGTGAAAAAAACCTCTTCACCTCCTAGATATGATCCTTTTCCTTCATACGTACAGTTAGTGCTTGCAAAATCTTTGGCAACGTGCTGTTCTACAGTGCTCTGCAAGTCAATTAAAAATTGTTCTGAGATCTTCATTGCGGAGGGATTAATTTCGTATATTGACGTATTTTGTGGATCCTCACTCAAGCAAAGGCAGTTCTGCAAGGCACAGGCATCAAAATAAGCAGGTGGATTTCCAAAAGACTGGGGACCCTTGGGAAGACCTGTTTTTGGCTGGAGTTGAAGAGTCCCTGGATGAACCTCTCACAGTTACTGGTTAGCAAAAAGGTAAAATAAAACGATGAGGACAAGTGGTGTTACCTCCTTCTTTTGTGTTGAATGAAGCTGAGTAAGATGACGTTGAGAAAGCAGAGAGTCCATAGATGAGAAAGAGAAGTTCTCGAGAAATATAACGTTACTCTACTAATTCCAAGATGTTTTCCTTTAATTACCATGCAGAGCTATATGAGATCTATTGCTGGGCCTGAAACCTCAATTAACAAGTGTTACAGTTTTCTGCTAAATCTAATAGCCACTTATTTTGTTCCCCTCCAAAGACAAGAATGAGATTTCTTTAAATCGACATTTTCTAAGCTGGAATTCTTTATTTGCTCTTTTTTCTTCTCACTTAATAGATTACTTTTTGACACTTGACGAACCTATGAATAACATCACCACCACCCTTGGCCAGACCGCAGAGCTGCATTGTAAAGTCTCTGGCAATCCTCCTCCAACTGTACGTTGGCTGAAGAACGACGCCCCAGTCGTTCAAGAGCCCAGGAGGATTTCTTTCCGTGCAACCAGCTACGGCTCTCGACTGCGAATAAGGAACCTTGACACTACGGATACTGGTTACTTCCAGTGTGTTGCAACTAATGGCAGAAAGACTGTTTCTACAACTGGCGTCCTGTTTGTAAAATTTGGTAAGTTTTTGTCTTTTAAACTATTCAAACTGGGCAAAGGTGCAGGACAACAGTTTTGGAGAGGAAATTCTATTTTAGCTGCTGTAAATGTTCAGCGCAGATGTAGCAATACCAGGTCTGAGTCAGCCTATTCCAGGGAACACCTTTGGGGTGGCAGTTTTATCCTCTCTGCATGTTTCTCGTTGCTCAGCTGAGATACTCGTGTCACCAGCTGCAATAGTGGCTTTTATTATGTAAGGGCCTACTGGAAGTAAGACTGAAATACTGAGGGAACTAAACATTTCCCACCTGAGAGGATTCAGGCCAGGGGAGTTTTATTTTCAAGTGCTGGAGTCACCTCCTTTTTCTGTAGTAAGTGAGAACTTGAAGCTTGCGAAAGAGTGGAAGCAGAATGCAAATATTCATTACAGCATAAATTGGAGGCACATTAGTGATATAGATAGATAGATAGATAGATAGATACTTTTTAGTTAAAATCAGCACTTTTTCTTCAAAATTCATATTGAGATAATTGCCTTCAGAACTGATCTTACGAATGGGAAGACCCCAAACAAGAAACAGATTTTGTGTGTCATCTCCTCCATGGCCGCATTCAGAGGCAAAGATTTCACTGAGCTGAAAATGTTTGCCTGGAATCCCAGTTAATCCTTTTTAGACCTGGACAAATAACACATAATGAATGATGTATTTGATAAGTTTCCTGGCTTTTTTTTTCATCAATCTCCTAAATTTTTCTGTATTCTGTTTCTTATAAAAATATTATTTAGACATTCTCTTAAAGCAGTTGTTATCTTTTAGCTTGTATCTGAAATTTAGGAGATTTTTGTCTGAACAATGATACTTTTGTAAACGCTCCTGTTGAAAACACCTGATATTTTTGTTGAAAACACCTCATATTTTTCTTTTTTCTGACTGGAGCAAATTTAATCTCACAGTCAAATTTCTAGAGCAAATACTGATTTGTGTGAATTCCCCGTAAATATGCTGAGGCATATGCTGTTTCAGTGAACATACATGAGCTCAGCCCTTCCGATATTTGCCAAAAGCAAGCGCAAAGTACGGTAACAACGAAATGCTCTCGTCCAAAGCCCACTGAGATCTGAGCAAACCTGATCAACGCATTTGAGTCAGGCCTAAGGCAAATTCCTTGAAAAGTAATGAAGATTGATAGGGGAAAACGATGCTGATTTCTCCCAGTTAGAGTTACAACCTGCTTTTGTGTAAGCTGTAGTTTGCAAGCTGTGTGCTTTTGTGCAAGCTGTGTTTGTTATAACTTTTTTCCTGATGGCCCCAGCCACCAGTTGAATTGCAGGATCGGTGTATTGGCCTTATCTATGGCATTTTTTAGACAATCACTGCTACAGGATACAGCCCTGTCTTTGGTATTGAGAAACTGCGAATCGTCTGTTAAACTACATAAACCACATTCAACATGACAGACTGTTACTTTTATCTTTTAAAAGGTTTTCTAAAGCTTCCTGCTTGTTACCTCACCATAACTCATCCCGCTGTTTTTATTCTGTCACTTTTCCAGGTCCCCCGCCAACAGCAAGTCCAGGATCATCGTGAGTTGTTTCACGTCTGTTATACTGATTCATTAATCTTGCTTTTCGGCAGTCAGATGTTCATTTTTCACTTTGCATGACAGAAGCACTTTTACATTCCACTTAAGTCAGATAGTATGGTAATTTATGGTAACTGTATTATCTGCCTCATAGATAAATTTTCATAGTATTTCAACTCCTATTTCTTACACTAGATTTCTTAATTTCCGATATTTTCTTTAGATTGTCTGGTACCTTCAGTCTTTGAGCTGATTTTCAGTATGCGTGTAGAATACAAAGTATGAGCAGAAACTGCTCTGCATACATGTCAGCCCACTCCCGAAAATATTTATTGCTACATGTAGTTTTTACTACCTAGAGGACTTTTACTGATTTTAATGGGGCTGATGGCCGCAAGCTCTATATCTGGAGCTATCTATATCTGTAATGGTAAACAGTCATTGGACTGAGTTCTTAAAGATCAGGTGCATGGCTGGGAGTAATGACTGTTTCACAGCGGCTGTCTCGCACCTTGCAGCTTAGGTTCTGTTCCCGCTCTTGCATCCATGCTGTTGTATCTTAGCAATTAGCACGTTGTTGTGTTTTGGCAGCTGAGATGCTGTCTATAGTAGGTTTTGAGAACATATATATCTTCCCCTCTAGTTTCAAGATATGTGATCAAAGGTACTCATACCTTTTTATAGTCCCTTAATGTTTTCAAGTCAAATCTTCTACTGTTCTGAAGTCTGAAATTAATTTGGTGATTGCATGTCTAGTTTATTATCATATACATGTGGAACAATGCTGCAAACCAGCCTGTCCTAAGGAGCGGAGCTGCGCTGTTTGAAGAGAAATACAGTATCGACTAAAACAGAAAATTAAACTATTCATAGAATATGAGGGATGCGAAAGTTTGGGGATGTGAATGCTCCTGACTATCTTTCTAGAAGATATTTCACAAAGTGTTGCGGAGGATGTAAAGTAGTGAAAGCACCTACCCACAAAAGGACATGCTAGGATGCCCTCTAATGGAACATCATAAAATGCATGTTTGTCTTTCCTCTGGAAGGTAACTGAAATGAAGTGGCTGGAGTTTGTTTGGGAAGAGGAGTTCTCTGCTCCTACGCCGGCTCCTTTCTGTGGCTGCGATTTTTGGAGGAGCGAACCTCTATGGAGCTCTATGGAGCTTCGCAGGGCTTTGAGAAGTGGGCACTGACGTGTTCTTTAGCAGTCTGGAGAGTTAATTAGTGATTTGTGAGACAGAATGTTCAATTCTGTGTCTACTTCTGCTTAGTTTGGGATTTCTAAAATTTGTAAGGCTGGGCAACATGCCCTTGGCTGTGAAAAACCTACAGGAGAGGGTGTGAGCGGGGAGAGCAAAGGAAGGCTGTGCCAGAACTTCACTGTCTAGGCTGTTCAGACGTGCTTGACAATTTTTTACACAAAATAGACATGGAAACCTTCTTCCATTTCTCTTTCTGGCTTGTTCTTTCTCCCCCGCCACCCCCCATAAAAGAGCCAGAACTTGACCAGCTAACAGCCCACCCGGGTATGGTGAAGTAACTGCAAATGGTCCCACTAGGTTAGTGAGGGTTGGACTGAGCTCGACGGCAGTGTCAACACAGCATCGTTCAGGCCGTGGAGAAAAATCCAAACCCCTGAGGCTACTGCTAGTTTAGTGACTAGAAGCGGTCAGTACACATAATAATGATAGAATAGTGTCCCACTAACATTATTACACTTCCCCTGACCTAATCACCCGTATCTTAACATGGCCGTGCCTTATTCTGTACTCAAAGCCCATAAATTGAAGGCAAAAACAATCACTGATTTCTGTGTGAACCGTATCAGGCATTAAATTAGGCAGGGTAAGCGACGTAATAATCCAGATTTTCGTTTTATTTTCAGCCATGTGCTGATCATTGCACATGAGTGCAAATACGAAGAATGTGAAGGGAAGATGAAAATAAAATGAGACTTCCTCTTCGAAAGTTAATTTTATCCTTGTGCCTTGTAATTTTGCAACCAAAAAAGATATTTAATCACACTTCATTACCCTGGAAAATTGTAGGCTGTGTCTAATGAGAGGTCATATTGAACTAAACATTGCAGGGAAACATATCCAAAGGAATGTGTGCGGGGACTCCATTTTATTGAATAGAGAATAATTACATTCTTGTAGAGCTTACCAGATTTTATGTATGAATTAAGAGAATCAGGAAGAAGCTTATGAAAAAAAAGTTAAACTTGGCATTCGTACTAAATTAGAGTAAAAAACCTGTATACATTGTCTTGAACCCAGTTCACGTCTGCTATCAGAGGCATGAATGCAACAACCTTATGGATAGCAGCACAGGTTTTGATCCAACTGTATTAAGCTAAACAGTGAAGAGAAATTATGTATTGTGGAAGTGGAAATTGCCAGTTCTGTTCCTAGCTGTTTGCTAGTCTTCCCATGCAAAAAATATCTTGAGAAATGTATATCCTACTCATGCGTTACGAACAATGAAATTAATGAAAATTTGGTCAAAGTGCCTGTGGTAAGAGGAATTCCTCATTACATAGGTAAGTGTCACAAAAAAAAAAACTGTTTGCAGCAATATGGGGTTAAAGGCAGCACTACTCTGCAGTGTAGGGGAACAGAGCATGTTATCCAGCTTTGGTAGATTTTCTTGATAGGAGACAAGTTTATTCAAGATTTTCTAGAGTTGGTTGCCTTGCTTTTTCTGATATTTTGGTTGAAAATGTCTTCAAATACGAAGAGAACCTGGAGCCTGTTCCCCATAAGATCCTCCTCCACTGAAAGCATTAGCCCTCAGACTCTCATGCTGTTTCATAGTCTTGTTGCCGTTTTAGGACTTTTCATTGCTATTAGATGAGCAATAGGTATAGGCATGGGAAAAACCTGCTTTTGTCTCTGAAAACTAAACCTATCCATGCCTGCCTCAACTTTCAAGTTCCAGAGCGACAGATCTAGTACGCGGTTGACCTCCCTACCCTTCACTTAGGACTAAAGGGAGTCCTCTGGGGAAGTGCTTTCTTCAGGAAAGGTCCTGGAACTTGGGTTATAAAATATCATCGTGCCATTTTTTCAAAAGCTAGGGCACTGGTCCCAGTACTTTGGATAAAAACCAACTGTGAGTCCATGTGCTCGGCTGGTTTCAGTTTCACAGATGTTCATGTGAGCTTACGTTTATCTTCTCCTGTTCTCCGTGACCTGTGGTGTTGCTGTGAACAAGTGGACGGTTATTGTAGAGCGTCATAGTGTTGGCGGTTAAATGGAGTTTAAATTTGGAAAGCACTTTGAAAATTGCTGTGTAAATGAAAAATCTCACTTTGATGGTATATGTGCCTTAGCAACATGTGTTTCTTCTCCTATGATAACACAATCAACAAAACAGATGGAAAGTTTCCTTTCCTAGTGGGCATGCTTTTCCCAGGTAGTCTTTATTAATCTACTATGAGTGGAAGGTTCTAATTATTTAAGGATTTAATTTGAGGATCATGTTTTTAAAAAAATCCATATGCTCTGCACTTTTCTTCACATAATTTATAGGTGCAGAGTTCTGCAGTGATGTGATGGCAGAAAAATAGATGGTCCAACTGTTGCTTAAAAATAAAAAGGTTAAATGGATAACGTGTATAAAAGAAGACAGATAAAACTAGATAACGTAAGAATTCCCGTGTGTGTTACATCCTTTCTCTCTCTGCTTTCCTGAAATACTGCTGGTGTTAGCGACATCCAAATGTCTGTAACCACTGACCAAGTGGTTACAAGCAAATAAGAGAAACTCCAGCAGGAACACACCGTTACAGTCCATAAGGAAATCATGAATCCAAGGGATTCCTTCAGAAAGCACTGGCTGACCTTTAACTCTCTTATGTTTTGCAAAGGTCGACTTTAAAGTCTTATCTGCGAGGCTGCAAGGTTACATTCCTCTAATGTGCTCTGGTTCTCCACATGTGTAATGGAGCTTGAGAGAGCATCTTTAAAATAAGAATGCACGCTCCTGCTTTATAAATAAGTCATTATTTTATCTTTCATTTTGAAGGAAGGTGCTGCAGATATGCAGGCAGTTACAAGCAGCTCTCGGAGCTGTGGGGAGAGTGAGAACGAGTCTGCCCCGAAATTCGGATGCTTGCCTGAGAGCTGGGCTGCCACGCTCCCCTTCCGGCTCTTAGGACTACTTACATAGTTTCCACGAAGTGGATGGTGTCAAGGGCACCTCCACCCCGACTGCAGCTGGGAGTCTGGGAAGAGGGCCCTCTTCTGGCAGATAAATCAGATCCTGTTGGCTGTTGGTGGAAAAGGACCCCACCAACTCATAATGAATAGTCTGAGGAAGATCAAAAGGAGCATTTTGAAGCTCCCGTGCTTCACATTTCGTATCAGAAAGCCAAGAGAGTCCAAGATACCTTTTCTTTCCAAGACATGGTGAAAGGAGACTTTACAGACATCCGGGATGACATCAATTTGAAACTTACTTTTTATCCTTTGTCCATGCCACGGTTCGGTTCTTGAAGGACCTGGAAGTGTGCCTCTTAATCTCAGGCCTCTTTGCTTGCTACTGAGATAGAAATCAGGAAGGACTGATGCCAGAGCACAGCAGATTCCAGGAGGCAAGAGAATTTAATATAACAATGGAGATTAAGAGATTATTAGAGACTATAATTTTATGACAATTGATACTTTGTCCTGGGAAAATGGTTATATGCTCAGTCTTTTCCAAGATTTTTGCCCCCTTTTCTCATTCCATATCATCTCCACTACCTGGAGTATTGGCTTTATGCTTGTCCTGACCTTGCATTCACGCACTCCAGGAAAAATTTAGGTGCAAATCACTGAAACTAAAGGAGACGGAGCACACTTTGTTCAAGAACTGTCATGAGAACATTAATGGGAAAGAAAACAAAAATACCTTTTGACATGGTCCAATTTAAAACTGAACTAGACAAAACCTGCTTGAATGTAGTCAAATGGGCAGGATTCAGGAAAATATTCTGTATATTTTGTGTGGAAG